CTGCAGCTGTCCACGAGGGGCTGAGGGCCCACGCCCCTCGTCCTCCTCCTCCTCCTCCTCCTCCTCCTCCTCCTCCTCCTCCTCCTCCTCCTCCTCCTCCTCCCCTCCCCCCCCCTCTCCCTCTCCTCCTCCTCCTCCTCCTCTCTCGTCCTCCTCCTCCTCCTTCCTCCTCCTCCTCCTCCTCCTCCTCCTCCTCCTCCTCTCCTCCTCCTCCTCCCCTCCTCCTCCTCCTCCACAACTCTCCCTCTTCCCCTGATGACGGTTTGAAAGTTTTAGCCCCCCCCCTCCCGCGTATTGTTTTTTACACAGGATTCCCCGGAGTTGGGTTTTCGCTTGCATTTGTTTCAAAAATGCTGCTCTCGCTGAGGCGCCGGCCTCATTTTCGGGCCCCGTTCGTTCCGAATCATGCTCCCGCTGCAGCGCTGGTCTCATTTCCGTGCTTCCGCTCGTTCCGAATCGTGCTCCCGCTGCAGCGCTGGCATCATTTCCGCGCTTCCGCTCGTTCCGACTCGTGCTCCCGCTGCAGCGCTGGCGTCATTTCCCGTGCCATGCCACGGCATGCAATGCAATGCTAGGTTGATATTACGCTTTGCGGTGCTCTTCTACGCCATGCCATGCCGTGCTCTACAAGGCATCGAGTACCCTTTCGGGATCATTGCCCTGCTCGACATCCGACTGTGCGAGTAGAGAGGGGATCTACGCCATGGTAAGGGATGGGAGGGAGGGGTAGGATGTCAGATATACGCGAGCGCACCTAGCTTGTCCCCCTCCCCTGTGAAGAGAAGCAGAATCACACTACGGCACGAAGGTGATGTAGACGTGAACGAATGTGATGATGTCCTCCTCCTCCTCCTCCTCCTCCTCCCTCCCCCCTCCTCCTCCTCCTCCTCCTCCTCCTCCTCCCCCTCCTCCCTCCTCCTCCTCCTCCTCCTCCTCCTCCTCCTCCTCCCCCTCCTCCTCCTCCTCTCCTCTCCTCCGTCCTCTCCTCCTCCCTCCTCCTCCCTCCTCCTCCTCCTTCTCCTCCTCCTCCTCCTCCTCCTCCTCCTCCTCCTTCTCCTCCTCCTCCTCCTCCTCCTCCCCTTCTCCCTTTTTCTCCTCCTCTCCTCCTCCTACTCCTCCTCCTCCTCCTCCCCCCTTCCTCCTCCTCCCCTCGTCCTCCCCCTCCTCCTCGCCTCCTCCCCCTCCTCCTCTCCTCCTCCTCCTCCTCCTCCTCCTCCTCCTCCTCCAGCAGCTTCTCCTGTGCGTGCAGCAGGCGGCGTTGCACCGCTGGTCGGCAGAAATGGGCGCAGCGATCCTGAGGGCCCCAGGGGTCGCCTCTCCCTGGGCGCCGTGAGTGGAATTCCGGAAGCCTCCTAGCCCGGGCGGCATGGGGCCGTTCCCCACTCCCCTATTGTGGCTCGGGCCGCATCTGCGCCTCTTCTGGGACAGGGGCCTGGCTTTCCTCCAGGGCAGGCCTGAGACCAGGCGGCGCTCCACGACGGGATCCCCAAGTCCTGAGAGAATGCTGCCCCCGTAGAATCCAGGCCTCCCAGATGGGGTCGGGTCGGAGTAGATGGGGTCGGCGGATCGCGCCGCATTGCATCGGCGATGCGGCCCGATGCGGAGCGCGATTTTATCCACGCCGACGTCGCCGATGCATTGCCGACGTCGCCGATGCATCGGCAACGCATCGGCGATACATCGGCGATGCATTGGCGATGCGGCGCGATCCTTCGACACCATCTACTCGGACCCCATCTAGGAGGCCTCTTTAGAAGCAGTGGGAGGCCCACTGCAGGATACTGGGATGCATGAGGTAGCACGTTTCCACGAGAACGTTGTGGTCCGAGCTGGGGCCGAGGGAATCTTGAAGGCGCTCCATTACCGAGATCGTGAGGCCCATGGCCGCTGCGCGTTCGGAAACCACAGGGGCACAGTTGTCTGACGTCTCCCACCACCAGGACACGCCCGCACGAACGGGCGCGGAGCATCAGTGAGAAGAGGGCCAGGGCCTCGGTGGACTAACCGGCACCCCACACAGGCAGCCTAGCCCGGGAGAAGAAAACGTTCTCGAGGCCTCCCGTGCAGTGAGAAAGGGGGCAGCACGTGAGGGTTGGGCGCGTGGCACCGTACTCGGAGTGTGCTGGCCGCCTCAGCCCAACGCTTTTCCTGCGTTCCCTCCTCCGCCTCCCCCTCCTCCTCGTCCTCCGACGTCACGGCAGCGACAACGGCGTCCACGAGGAGGAGGAAGAGGAGGAGGGAGAGGAGGAGGGGGATGAGGAGGTGAAGGAGGAGGGGGAGGAGGGAGGACGAGGAGGAAGAGGAGGCTCCGTAGCCATTTGGGCTCGAGTGTTTTCTGGACACTCTTACGGCTTTCGATATCCCGATATCGTACATGCCTGCACCTTGCCTCCACGCTGTGAAGTGCAGGAGCGGGCGTAGGCAGCAGTGCCTCGCAAGCGCGAGATGCGAGGCATCACAGTGCGTCATGGCCCTTGCCTTGCGCATGTGAAGGATGCTTGCGAGGCTGTCCAACTCATGGCAGACTTGTGCGGCAGTGGCTACAGTTGTTCTGATGACGAGATTTTGGAGCCCGTCGAATCCACGTTGATTTCGGCGGGTAGGTTCTTGGGGCACGAAAGGAAGGCAGCGACCGAGGAGGTGCGCAAGAGCCTCGTGAAGCAAGGAGGGCCCTACCTTGACCTCGCTAAGAGGTGGAGCGCTGCCCGTGCTGGGCGCCGAGCGGCAGCCCACCCTGACCCGTCCATTTTCGTGGAGATCCTAAACGCACTCTCGAAGGACGGGGCTGAGTCAGGAGAGAGGTTGGAGAGAGCTGACCTGAAGCAGAGTCCTGGGTGTTACGACATTAGTTCTGACGTGCCGCCCGAGTTTGGAGAAGAACCTAGACAGGACAGTACTATTGCAAGTTCCAGCGGCGAGGACAGTACTTCCAACGGTTTCGAGTTCCAGGCTTTGCGTTTGGAAATGGCTAGTCGACGTGAGGCTGCCAACGAACCCAAAAGTCCACTTCAACAGTCAGCTTGCGCAGCAGAAAGAGAAAAAATGCATGGATCAGCCTGTGGAGCCCCAGTGTTTGGACACTTTCTGCAACGATGGGGCTTGCAAGTACAAGCGTTTGCTAAGCGACCTCCAGGACACCATAGAGGAGAATCTGGAGGCCATTTCTGTTAAGATGATGTTCCTGCACGCCGGAGAAGCATCTTCGATTTTAGCTTCGCAGTCTTTCGGGCTCGCTGGCGATCCGCAAGGCACTGCTTCTGAGACCTACAATGGCTCCACCATTATGGAGAAGCTGAAGGGCGAAACGAGCCAAAGAGCGACCATTCAGGATTTGCTGCTCTTGGACGTGAGGCCTCTGACGGAAGGTTTGGAAGGAGCAAACTCTGAGGTGGCCTTCGACATCGATGAGAACGTCACGGTGCTCTTCTCGGGGCCCTGCAAGCCCTCCAGCAGCTCGTTCCAGAGCTTTCTCGACAACGATATTACTGGGCTAAGGGCAAGGGGAGAGTGCGATGAGGAGACGATTGAGGACATCGCCAATCTCGCAGAACTGTACATCCCTGGCTACAATGTTCGGTGAGCCGCGCAGGCCCTTTTGCTGCAGCTTGCAATCCGTAGTACGCATCCTCATTCTGTCATCTTGGAGTGCAGCAGCGAAGCATGGCAATAACGGTGTTTTGTCGTAGCGACGCTGGGCTCCTGATGCCTCTTCTGGAGTTGTTGCAATATCTTCCTCCTTATCTATCCTCCTTTACATTATGCCCCCCCTCCCTACCCCTCGTCCCCCGCCACGTCTCCCCACAACAGGGAGCCAGAGTTGGATTTTAGCCAGCTGGAGGCGGGGGAGCTGATGACGACGCCGATGGCGATAGGGGGCGAGACGTGGAGGTGGGGGGGAGGCGCGAATAAATCGCTGCGATTGTTCCTTTAAGTGCCTGGCCGAGTGATCCCAGGCATTCGGCTCTCAAGCAGGCATCCTCATTCTGCCATCTTGGAGCGCAGCAGCGAAGCAAGGCAATAACGCTATTTCGTTGTAGCGGCGTCGGGCTCGTGCTCAGCGCATGCCTCTTCTGGAGCTGTTGCAACATCTTCCTCCTTATTTATCCTCCTCTACTTTATGCTAAACCATCCCCTCCTCCCCATCTCTTCCGTTCAGCTTTCTGTCGCCTCGGGCCGCACTTCGGCGGAGGAGGGGGAGCGGAGGGTTTCGAATATTATAGTGTGTGCGTGTGTGTTGTTGTTGCTGCTGCTGCTGTTGTTGTTGTTGTTGCTGTTGTTGTTGTTGGTGGTGGTGGTGGTGGTGGTGTTGTTGCTATTGTGGTGTGTTGCGTGGTCTATCGGAGGAGGAGCTGGAGGGCCCCCCGCCCGCATCTTCCCCAGCTGCAGCTCACCTACAAGCTAAGATGGGGCACCTTCGGCAAAGCTGCCGCAAAGCAACTGGGCCCTTTGCCCAGATGGTGCTCCCAGCTATCTCCTTGACCCCGTCCCATATCAGATCCGTTCTCCCCATCCGCTCCGTTCCTCAAGTCTCAACCGTTGCTGGATCAACCAGCATTTGATGACGGAGATTGCGGGGGGGAGGCAAGGGGGCGGGAAGGAGACGAAGGGCCGCCGACCGCGCTGATCGGTCAGGCGAGTACGAGGCATTCCTGGCCTCTCTCTCTCTCTTTTTCTCTCTTCCTTTCCTTCTCTTCTCTCTCTCTCTCTCTCTCTTTCCTCTTTAAGGTAGGTCTGAGCTGTCCTCACTTTTTGCGTGCAATTTGCGTTGTGCTCGCCGACCCTTCGTGCTGTGTCTGTGTCTGAGGAAGAGGAGGAGAAGGGGGAGGAGGAGGGGGAGGAGGAGGAGGAGGAGGAGGAGGAGGAGGAGGAGGAGGAGGAGGAGGAGGAGGAATAGAGGAGGAGGAATATGAGGAGGGCGACGACGACGACCACCACCACCACCACCAGCACCACCGCCACCACCACGACAACGGCGCACCGCAGCCGAGGCCACGGCGCGCCGGGCCGCGGCCGCGGAGGGCGCGGGCGCTGCGCTGCGCGGCGCCCGCGCCGCGGCGCTGGGCCGCGCGTCGGAGCTGATCAAGGAGCGCGGCGGCAGCGGCCCAGAGGAGGAGGAGGAGGAGGAGGAGGAGGAGGAGGAGGAGGAGGGGGATGAGGAGGAGGAGGAGGAGAAGGAGGAGGAGGAGGAGGAGGAGGAGGAGGAGGGGGAGGAGGAGGAGGAGGAGGAGGAGGAGGAGGAGGGAGGGAAGAAGCACTGCCGCCCTCACTCGTAGTCCCGCATCCTCAAGAGCGGGCCATGCGATCGATATGGGTAAAACGCCCAGACCTCCCCGCGCCGTGGAAGAATCACGATGGGAGTCTTGTCGCTGTTCTCGGCCTCTGCGGGCCCCTACCGGGCCCCGGGAGCGGCAAAAAGTGATTCAGGATTCAAAACCGGTCACGGGGAGGGGGTCCAGACCTCTGGGGGTCGACGTTGTGAAAAAATCCCGACGTCGGGGGTCTGGGAATGGGTGCGATGGGGGCTTTCGTTGAGGGGTGGGCCCACGAAGCTTCAAACCTTGGAGGGTGCCTTGTCTGACGAGAGCGGCGGTGATATCCACGAGTGGAGTTCCACCGGCTTCCAGACCCTGGATTCCGTATCCCATGGTTTTTTGCACACTGCCCTCACCGTGCGATGACCGACAGCAGCTCCTCGTCATTTTGATGGGCATCGTACCCATTTTTGTCCGCACTGGGCGTCCAAAGCCCAGACCTCCAACGTCTCGAGAGACTCACGGCGGAGGCTTGCCTCAGGGCGAGAGTTTCTCGTCGCTTTCGGCCTCTGGGAGCTCTTGCTGGAACCCAAGGCCGTGAAGGACGACCTGGGACGAAGAGCTGGCCCGGGGGAAAGGGCCCAGACATCTGGGGGCCCCGCGTTGAGAGACTGAGGACATCGGACTTCTGAGGAGCGTGGCGGCGGCGGTGGCACCGACGGAGAACGGCGGCGACGACCCTTGATAACGGGGCGCTTCAATTTTTGTCACCCTGGGCGTGTCCGCCCAGTTGCGGGCCCTGGGGCCATCACAGATCGCTCCGGCTCGAAAGAAGCCGCAGGCAGATGGGGTCTTCTAGGGCCTAGTCGAGGGTTCGGGTCGTGATTTTTGCTTGCGATGCTGCGATGTTTCGCAACGTCGGATTTCGAGGACGGAGGCGGCCGCGACGATCGGCCGCGCACGAAGGGGGTCGGTCTTCTGAGATGCTCTGAGGCGTTCTGAGAAGGCGGGGTGCTTCTGCCCCACGGGCGTGTTGAGAAGCCTTCTCAGACTTCTCAGACTTCTCCTCCTCCTCCTCCTCCTCCTCCTCCTCCTCCTCATCATCATCATCATCATCATCATCATCATCATCATCATCCTCTTCCTCCTCCTCCTCCTCCTCCTCCCTCCCTCCCTCCCTCCCTCCCTCCCTCCTCCTCCTCCTCTTCCTTTTCAGGGTCCGCCGGGCCCTTCTGCGAAGGCCCCTGCCTTCCAAGAGGGCCTCCGCCCCTTGGGAGGCCGCCCACCTCACACCGCCGCCGCCAAGGCGTGGGTGGCGGCGGTGGCGGAGGCCGCGACAGCGACAGCGGCGAGGACGGCGACGACGGGGGGAGCGAGAGGAGGGGGGAGGAGGGAAGAAAGGGGAGGAAGAGGAGGAGGATGATGAGGAGGAGGAAAAGGAGGAGGAGGAGGAGGAGGAGGAGGGCCAGTGTAAACCCAAGAGTCATCAACGATGTTGGAGTAAACCCTCCCTTCAGGCTCCCTCTTCGTAGGCTCATGCAACGGCTAATTTTCATTGAAGGAACTGCCTCTTTGGAAAACAACCGCTTGAAGACACTGAAGCATGCCAAAACTTTGTTCTCGGGATTCCAACGCCACGGATCAACCTGACTGTTGCGTCCGCTCTTACTCTTACTCCTCCTACTCCCCCTCCTCTGTCGGCGCCCACTGCTTTTGCAGAACGTCCCTCCCCGTCCACGAACGGCAGGGAGGGCCGCGCCGGCGCGCGCGCGCGGGGGGCGACGCGCGCGGGCACGCGCGGGGCGTGTGCCCCTAGGGGCGGGCGTCCGCGCTGAAGTCGGGGCTGCTGCTGACGGTGTCGGCCCAGCTGGCGGCGAACCCGTTTGCTAAGGCGGCTCCGGGATCGTCGTCGCCGTCGTCGCCGCCGCCGCCGTCGTCGTCGTCGTCGTCGTCGCCGTCGCCGTCGTCGCCGTCGTCGTCAGCGTCAGCGTCGGCGTCAGCGTCGTCGACATCGACGTCGCCGTCGCCGCCGCCGTCGCAGCCGCCACCGCCGCCGTCGTCGTCGTCGTCGTCGTCGTCTTCTTCGTCGTCCTCGTCGTCATCGTCGTCGCCGTCGCCGTCGTCGTCGTCGTCGTCTTCAGCGTTAGCGTCAGCTGCAGCGGCAACGTCGTCGGTGTCGTCGGCGCCGCCGACGCCGTCGTCGTTGTCGTTGTCGTCGTTGCCGTCGCCGACATCGTCAGCGTCGTCAGCGTCGTCGGCGCCCTCGTCGACATCGTCGGTGTCGTTGTCGGGGAAGGAGGGGAATGATGATGGCGATGATAATGATGATGATGATGATGATGATGATGATGATGATGATGATGATGATGATGATGATGCTGATGATGATGATGATGATGATGATGATGATGATGATGATGATGAAAATGATGATGATGACGACGATGATGACGATGACGATGACGATGACGACGACGACGACGACGATGACGATGATGATGATGATGATGATGATGATGACAACGATGACGACGATGACTATGACGATGACGATGATGACGACGATGATAACGATGATGATGATGACGACGACGACGATAATGATGATGATGCTGATGACGCTGATGATGAATGAATGATGAATGATGATGATGATGATGATGATGATATGATGATGATGTGATGATGATGATGATGATGATGATGATGATGATGATGATGATGATGTGGTGGTGGTGGTGGTGGTGGTGGTGGTGGTGGTGGTGGTGGTGATGATGATGATGATGATGCTGGTGGTGGTGGTGATGATGGTGGTGATGATGCTGATGATGATGATAATAATGCTGATGATGATAAATGTGATGATGCTGATGCTGATGTTGATGCTGATGCTGATGCTGATGCTGATGCTGATGCTGCTGATGATGATTATGATGATGAGGGGGAGGAGGATGAGGGAGAGGAGGAGGGAGGATGAGGGAGAGGAGGAGGCAGGGTGATGGTGAGGGTGAAGAGGAGAAGGAGGAGGAGGAGGAGGAGGAGGAGTTTGCCCATGAGGATGAAAGGGGAGCAGTTTGTTCGCAAATGTGAGGGCGTCGCGGGCGTTCTGAGGGGCTCAGGGGGCTATGGAGGTTGAAGGATCTAGGGGGAGATAAAAAGGAACTGAAGCAGGATTGGGGAGGAGGAGGCGGAAGGGGAAAGGGAGGGAGGGAGGGGGGGGGGACGAGGAGGAGGAGGAGGAGGAGGAGGAGGAGGAGGAGGAGGAGGAGGAGGAGGCGGGGGAGGAGGCGGGGGAGGAGGGAGAGGAGGAGGAGGAGGAGGAGGAGGAGGAGGAGGCTCCCGGGCCGCGCAGCGCCTGCTGCCCAAGTGGTGCGCGGCCCTGGAGCGCCTCGCGCACCTCTTCTGCAGCAGATGCCGGCCCGCTGTGTCCGGTGCGCGCTCCGAGCGCCACGGAGGCGCGGCTGGCGTGGGGGCGGGTGACAGCCAGAGTGGGTGCTCACCGCGAAAGCTGGGCGAGGGCTGCTAAAACCGCGGCTGCTAAAACGGCCCTCCCGGAAGGAAAAAACAACTTCCCGGAATGAGGCGCGGCACGCGAAATTGTCAACGGGTTTCTTCCCGGAAGGACGAAGACAATTTCCCGGAGGTCGATTTTAGCAGCCACGGATTTAGCAGCCCTTGCCCAGCTTCCGATCACCGTTGGTCCGGCCTTTTTGTGCACGATTCCGACAGCGGAGTGCTATGCAGGTGGCTGCGGTCGTTCACTCTAGCGGGGGCAGGAGCAGGAGCCTTCGCAGCTCTCGGAAACTGGAGCGTGTGCATGACCAGTGGCGGGCTATTTCCCAAGCCCAGGACTGTCTTGAGGGTCGGGGACGACGTCGGGGTGGTATGGTGTATACCTTTTTTCCCCGTTCCCGGGGAAACAACGAAAGATGTACACACCAGGGTCCCCTATACACCAGGATCCGCTCTCCTGTGCGAGTTTCAGTGCGGGGCTGGGAAAAGCGTCGGTGTATAGAGTTCGGCTCCTTATCATCCATCCTTTGAACAACACCTCAGAATCTGTCCAACACCGTAGGCGGCCATGTGTGCTCAAGAGGGCCGGAACCAGCGCCGAGAGCTCCGACCGATCGAGCGTCTGTCTCGGGCCCCCGACAGGGGGCGTGGGCACCTCCTGCCGCGCGTGGGTTCTCAGGGTCACGGCTATCGAGTGCAACCCATCGTCGTCGGCGGCGTCTCGTCGTCGCCTCCTCCCTCCTCCCTCCTCCCTCCTCTCTCCTCACTGCCGTCGCCACAGGTGGTCAGCGGCTGGCAGTGGGGAGCCCCGATCGGTGCAATGTCCGGGTCCCCGAGCCTCTCCTCTCCTCCGCGTGTGGCGTCTCGCACTCGGGGCGGGGTCGCCCAGGAAGTCGGAGGCAGGCCCCCGAGCCAGAAGCACGAGGCATGGACAGCACCTGCCGCCGCCATGGTCATCGGGCGCTCCGACTTGGTGAAGGCCGCGTGCTCTCTGTCGGGACAGCTCCCCCACATGCGGTGAAAGTCATCAGCGCGAGCACCGCGACTGCACTTGTCCCAGCCAGCCAGGTCGCCGCTTAGGTCGCGTCTCATCGCTGGTGGCCAGGCGCCCGCCGTGATGCCGGTGAGGAGGGCGTTGGCCTCAGGGAGCTTCCTGCAGAGTCGGTCATGGTGGCGGATGGCGTCGCTGGCGTCGACCCCTTCCTCCATGCCCTTGCCGTCGTGTTGCGCCGCCGCCTTCTTCCACAGGGCGCGCTTGATGTCACCGATGATGGTGTCGATGATGGTGGACGGGTCTTTCTCGGCCGCCTCCTGAGACGTTTCCCAATCATCACCCCTGGGGTCGGTCCAGCGCGTGGCCGTCTTGAGGTCCCATCCAGCCTCCCACAAGGTAAGAACGAGTGAGCCCATGACTCCTCGTCTCTGTCTCCGTCTGCGCTGCTTGGTCGCGAGCTTCAGGCTGGCATATATCGTGGCCCGAGCACGTGCGAACATACTTCTCAAGTCAGACCGACAAGCGCGCAACTCAAACCATGCTCGAAGTTGGGCTCGGGGAGTCTCCAGTGATCGGTCCTTCCCAACCAAGCTGAGGAATGATGCAGTGCACAGGAATGGTGTAGTGCACCGACATGGTCTCGATCTTGCAATCGCCGAAACACATCCCCTCCTAGTTTGTGTGATTGCTGAAAGGGGTTCACCATGAGCTTTGACTCCATGCAAAAGTGCTGGCATCCCCCCTCGGTTCAGCCTGTGGAATGTCTTCTCTCTTCTCAGCTTGCGTAGTTCCAAAAACATGCATTATGGTGAGTGCCTTTGCTCTCCTGGCGGCGTGCGTCGCCCCGCGGGTGACGCCTTTGGCCGCCCTGCCGATGCCCAGATCACGCGCCTCAGTAGCTGATGTGATAACAGCACCCAACTTCTTCAATATTGTTGTGATCCTCTTGGTCATCTGCCAATATGAACTGACGGTACCACTCTTGTCAGCGAGCTCCAGGCCTTCGCGCTCGAGACCGTGGACAAGCTGCTTCGTCGCTGCGACTACGATGTCCAGGCTGTGGTGCCGACATTGTCGAACCAAGCCCTGGGCGTGGCCTCGGGAGCGACGACCGCGACTGACTCCAGCACTCTGTGCACGACGGCTCGCGCCAGGTCACTGGCATGGCGGGAGCCCGCCAGGAGAGAGATGTCTGCTTGGCATGGGAGGCCATAGGCCCCCTGTTGTCTGACCATTCTGGGCACGCACTGGATCTGCAGCTCGAGCGCGAGGATCCTCTCGGGGAAGTCTCACTCCTCACAAAGCTGTGGCCACCGACGCTGGCACCAGGGAGTCGCAGAAGCGGGCAACGTGTGCAAGACATGACGGCCGACGCCCTGGCGAGGGTGCTGTGGCCGCCTCGTCCTGGAGTGCCCTGGCGAGGGCCTCTCCCGGGCATGAGGCCCTCTCAGGGCCGCGCCCCACTGCCTGGAGGCCCGGCCCGTGTCACCCAGTCCTCCACCTGGGGTCTAGTCATCGCTCGGACGTGTGCATTTTTCCGTCGGCGAGGACCATCGAGGAGCATCCTTGATCACTTGGCGAAGAAACCACGCCCGAAACCGAACAAAAACACAAGACATAGACGTCCGAGCGATGGCCAGTGGGGTCTGGTGGAGGAGGAGGAGGAGGAGGAGGAGGAGGAGGAGGAGGAGGAGGAGGAGGGGGAGGAGTCTGCCAGCAGCGGATGAGCCACGCGAGGAGTGCGGGCGCCCCGTCGCCTGCCTTGTGGGGCTCCCGCCTGCTGGCGGCCTGCAGCAGCTGGCTCGGCCGGGACGGCAGGGCTGCCGCGGGACTTCGCAGGTCCACAAGCGCCTGCCGAGCTGGCGCGGGCAGGCGGCGCACATCAGAGGCCACGAGCCTGTCGACGCCTCTGTCTCTGTCGGGCTGGGCCAGGACTGCGGGGCTTCCGCTGGACTTCACAGATCCACGAACGCCTGTCGAGCTGGCGTGGGCAGGCGGCGCACATCAGAGGCCACAAGCCTTTCGACGCCTCTGCCTCTGTCGGGCCGGAGGCGGAGGGCGAGACCAAGCCGTGCGAGAGTCCAGGAGGGGCAGGGCTCCGCCCTGGCCTGCCCACGACGTCGGGCCAAAAACGGCCACGGCGTCCGTCTGCGTGGCTGCGTCCGCAGCCCAAGTCTTCTCAAACACCTGCGCTGTTGTCGTCTTCGATTTCTGCAGGCCATGTAGCCTTGCAATTTCCTAGCACCGTCTCCTCTGCAAAACGGGGAGGGGGCTTCGTGATCCTATGGGGCTCCCCAGGGGAGGCCGTCGCAGGTTCCGCAAGCCAGTCAGCCCAACCTCTCAACTCATTCTCAAGGTCGCGCCTGTGGGCTCTGGCGGACTCTTCCGACGCTCTTTGGGCCATGCCCTTGAGCGCTTGGGGATCAAGAGCACTGATGTCCGCAAGCCTCTTTTGCCGCAGGGCACAGTGGAGCTGGGCAGTGTGCGACGGTCGAGCTCCTGCTGCTGGTACTCCATCCTGGGAAAGACGATGCGCGATATTGCGGAGCTCACGCTGCTGTTGCCCCCCTTTTCTTCTCTCGACGAGGGTGCTGAACAGGCTCAGGGCGTCGGCGACTCTGGATCACCAACTCGCCTCAAAACTCTGGTAGCGCGTCCTTCTCAGACCGCGCTCCTTGACTACCGAGGTCTTAAAGTTATAGCTGTGGGCCCTATCAGCATGGCGATGGGCATCGCCGTCGGGGATGCCGCAGGCCTTGATATAAACGGCTTCCACGTGCTGTGCAAGGGCCCCATACTTCCGACCGAGTGCGATGGAGCTGTGCAGGCAGTCCTTGGAAGCGGGGCAGCAGCTAATGTGTTCAGGCACTCGCTCGCTCAAAGGGCTGATATATGTGGCGACCTCCTGCCGCAGCTATTCTAGGGTCTCGGTCTGTGGGCCTTCGTGGGCTCTCTGGGCCTCAGCCGGAGCTCCAGGTGGGATCTCCTTGCCGGAACCCTGGACTGGCCCGAGGGGCCCTCCAGGCCCAGCTCCGCTTGGGCTGGTGCAGCGTACATCCTTGGGTCGATATCGACCTCCTCGCAGGAGGGAGGGGGCTCCTCGAGGTCTTCCAGACCTTCCCAGCCGCCCAGGCCGGCGAGCTCCTCGAAAGGGTCCGCCCCTGAGGAGCCCGGAGCCGCGGGGCGATGGGCACCCCCGGCAGCACGCGGCGCCGAGCGGCCTGTGACCCCAGCGGGGGCAACGCAACCTCAGGGGCGGACGGCTGCGCCGGATTTCCTCCCCCCCCCCCTCCTCCTCCTTCCCCTCTCCCCCTCCTCCTCCCCTTCCCCCTTCATCTCCTTCTCCTCCTCCTCGTCGCCCTCCTCCTCCTCCTCCTCCTCCTCCTCCTCCTCCTCTTCTTCCTCCTCCTCCTCCTCCTCGGCGCTGTGGCCTGGCTCGAGTCAAGTGGAAAAGACGACCATCAGGAGGAAAGAATACACACAGACACAATGAATCGTCGATTCCCCAGAAAAGATGGGACAATATGGGAAGTGGGGGGGAAGACAAAACCCCCCAAAAGATTGGAAACTATGGGGAACATTTTTACCTGTGTGTATTCATTTGTGTGTCCTGGGGCCCCTTCAGACCACCCCCGAGGTCCCAGGGCGCACCATCGCTGGTTGTACAAGTCTTGGTTCTTTTTCTCGCGGCCCGAGTGGGGCGAGGCGAGAGGGGGAGCGGCAGACCCAGACCCCCTCGAGTCATGAAGAAATCACGACGGAAGATTTTTCTATATTTTCCGCCTCTGGGGGCCCTTAGCGGCCCTCGGGACCGTCAAAAAACAACTCAGGATGAAAAACCGGTCCCCGCGAATAGGTCCGGACCTCTGGGGGTCGCGTCATGGAAAAATCATGACGTCGGGGGTCTGAGGACGTGGCAGCGGCGGAGGAAAGGCGCGTTTCCCTAAGGCGCTGCTGCCTCTTGCTGTCCCGGTCAGGCTTGGCATTTTGCCTGGCAGGGTGCCTGAGAGGAACAGGCATGACCAGGCTGCGTGTGAGAGCAGGTACAACACTCGCCCCGATAGTTAGGACTTGACCAGCGTGGGGCTCCCATGGAACCGAGACGGTCTGGAGGCTCCCACAATAGGGGGTCGCATCATGACTCAGGAGGATGTAATATATTAGAAATGGCTGGGCGTCAGCCTTGTAACACGTGAAACCGCCAGGGACGGTGACAGTAGTAGCTCCGAGCTTTTGTGGCCATCCTGGCTTCCAAACCTTCTCGGGAGACTCGTTCATATCCCCAGCCGCAATTCAGGGCAACTTACACGAGCTGAGGAAATCACCCATGGAGACCAGAGCGGCAGCATTGGCACCCGTGAAACGTTTCGAATTTTCCAGGTACAGATTGACAAGATCGATGTTGACCCCCTCGAGATGCCAAGTGATAGGCATCCAATTACAGAAACTGAACCTGCGACAGCTGTCAACCAAATCTGCCTTGGCCTGAGACTGAGATGCTGTGCGCGGGCGAGCAAGCTCGCGCTGGCAAGAAACTTGGCGGCGGCTCCTGATGGCCGTCACCACTCCTCCCCGGGAACCCTTCTTTGAGGACCTGCTGGGGCGTGCGGCAGAGAAGGCGGCCTTCAGGCCCCAGCCCTTCAGCTCCCTGTCGGTGTCCCCTGCGGCAGACGGGCGCGTGCGAGTCTGTGAGCAGCGACTCCTTGACGAACCTGCTGGCGGTGTTCCCCCATGTGCTGATGTCGCCGATGAAGATTTGCCTGGGCGACCGCTTCTCAGCTTCATCGGTCCTTGGCTCGTCCAGGCCCCCTGGGCTGCAATTTGGCAGGCCCCGGCCTGGCCCCGTGCAAGGGGTTGGGGGCGTCTCTGCCTGCTCCCGGGCCTGCTGGAGCACCTTCGCCTTGGCCGCCTCGCGCGCCATGGCGGTCCTCGCAGCCTTCTCCTTCTCCGCCTTCGCGTTGGCCTCCGCTGCCGCTGCCGCCTGGGCTTCCGCCCCTGCGGAGGCGGTGGCCGCGGCTGCGGCGCCTGCGCCTGCGGCGTCGGCTGCCGCCGCGGCCGCGGCACGGCCGCCTGCGGCGTCGGCGGGCGAGTCCTGCTGCTGGCGCCTCGTCTTGGACGCCTGCGTCTGCTCCTGCTTCGCCTGCTGGGCCTTGGCCTCTGCCTGGTCCAGGTGCGCGCGCAGCTGCGAGGCGAAGCCCCCCGTGCGGTGCTTGAGCTCCTTCAACATGGCCGCCTTCGCGTCCGAGGCCTCCTTGATGGCCTGCTCGTCTAGCTCGTCCTCGTCCACCTTCAGCGTGGCGCCCAGGTCCGCTAATCTGCGGCCTGCGCGTCGGGCGACATGGAGAAGATGTCGTGCAGCAGGTCTGCCTCGGGCGCGCCCTCTCACTGGATCTCGTTGATGACCTGCTCTGCCTTGACGACGGCCTGGGCCTTCATCATCACGTCCTGCTACAGCTCGGCGAGCTTGGCCTTCGCCTCGTCGCGCTTGGCGAAGGTCTTGTCGTACTCGATGTTGGCCTCCTCCAGCCTCTTGGCCGCCTCCGCCAGCCTCGCAGCCTTGCGCCTGCACGGGCTGCGGCTGCGGTGGCTTGGGGGACCTCCGTCATGGCCTGGGACAGGCGCTGGGTCACCTCGGGGGCGAGCTGCATGTTGGCGAGGTGGGAGGACACGCTCTCGAGCGCCTTCGTGAGGCCTGCCGTCTGCTGGGCTCCTGGGCCCTTCGCGGCGTCGGACTCCTTACGACCCTTCCTCGAGAACTGAGCTCCGCACTTGCATTTGAACCCCAGCGCCTCTAGGTTGGAGTGCCACTCCCAGTTGCTGCGTCGCTTGCACTGGGTCCACTTCTGCTGCTTCTTGCCGCCCATTTTGCTGAATAGGTGATGGCCGTGGTGCTGTGCGAGCTGCTGCTGGGCCTGCTGACCCTCGAGGGATGCCTGGGCGACTCTCACAGCCGCCCCGCATCCGCCCTCTGCGCACGCGCCCGCCCATGAGAAGCAACATATTGGGACGTGTCGTATGCGCCGACCGCCGACCTCAGCGGGAGGTCGGGGCCGATAGGGTCGGCACTGTTCCCAAGCGATCGATGCCAAAATGGACAGGCTTGGGAATGGCACGACGCCTAGTGGGAGGAGTAGGAGGAGGAGGAGGAGGAGGAGGAGGAGGAGGAGGAGGAGGAGGGCGAGGACGGGGACGCGGAGGAGGAGGAGGAGGAGGAGGAGGAGTGAGGAGAGGAGGAGAGGAGGGAGGCGTGGAGGAGGACTGAGGAGGACCGGAGCAGGAGAGGAGGAGGAGCAGAAGGCTCAGAGGAGGAAGAGGTACCCATACCTCTGCCCTTCCCTTGTTTTCCCCCTCTTGGACCTCCTGGGAGGCCCTCGTCGCCACCGCTGCATTCCCTTCGAAATCCTGATGAGAACGCACCCCGGGAGAGGTCCGGGGAGTAAGTAGCGGTATCGCTACCTGTCGGTTCCCCCCGAGCAGGAGGAGGGAAGCAATCTTTGGCGTTGTAGGTTTTGCCTTGGGTCCTGCCCCTCAGGTCCCCAGAGGCCCCACGAGGGCCAAAACTGCTGGGACACCTCCCCCCCATGGACCCTCGATGGTCGAGGGCAAAACTTGGCATCGTCGTTCCTCTGCTCCCTCCGTCCGCAGGTCGTCGAGCTGATCGAGGGCCTCCTCGCCCGCCTGAAGGCAGAGGCTGCGTCCGAGGCGGACCACAAGGCGTACTGCGACGAGGAGCTCAAGAGCAACGAGAAGAGGAGGAACAAACACCAGGCCTCTTCCGTCCTTGTCCTGCTCGTCCTCATCGTCCTATTCATCTCCCTCTCCTTCCGTCATGCCCTCCTACTCCTCCCTCCTCCTCCTCCTCCTCCTCCTCCTCGTCCTCCTCGTCCTCCTCCTCCTCCTCGTCCTCCTCCTCCTCCTCGTCCTCCTCCTCCTCGTCCTCCTCGTCCTCCTCCTCCTCCTCCTTCTCCTCCTTGTCCGCCTCCTCCTTCCTCCTTCCTCTCTTCTCTACTAAGGTCGCCTCCTTCCCCTCTATTGCAGCGCTGAGTATGAATCCTTGTCTTTCTCATGAAAAGCATTGTCGTCGTCCTCCTATCTTGTAACGCATGGTCCACCTCCTTCTTCTCCTCCTCGTCATCAGCAGCATCAGCATCATCATCATCTTCATCAGCATCATCATCACCACCACCATCATCATCATCATCATCATCATCATCAACATCAACATCAGCATCCCCATCATCATGATCATCATCATCATCATCATCATCAGCAGCATCATCATCTGTCATCATCATCATCAGCATCATCATCATTACCATCTGCAACCGTGCTGGCCCGAGCAGCACGGTAGCTTTCCCTCTTCCTGTGCAATGGCATGCTCTGTGTCTCGCGCGCTCATGCTTTTCAATCGTCGGCTGGTGCACTTCCGCTATCCATCACGGTCCACCTATCTGGCACGATTCCGCAGTACGGAGCATCGTGTTCTTAGGTTCCCAGTGCACGTGTTGGGCCAGAGGTCCATGCTGCTCTCGCGAGAGCTCCACTGGCTGGCGCCACGCGCCGGGATACCTAGGCACTGCGCATCATGTGTTCGGCGTCGCGCAAGACCTTTCGCCGGGAGTCCACGGGAGGAGGAGGACGACGACAATGCTTTTCATGAGAAAGACAAGGAGGAGGTCTCGGTGTGCAGGCCCACGGGGGCCCCTCCAGTAAGCTTTGTCACTCCCGCGGCCCCCTAAGG